GATACTCTTATGTGTTTCCTAAAGGTAGGGCCCTCTGGTTTGACTCGCAGCAAGAGGGATTGACTCTCATCACCAACCCTAGCACACCCACACGTGCGGGCACTAGCTCCAGTAAAGACACAACGCCTGATCTGACGTTCACGAGAAACACATCAGCAGCCACCTGGAAAAATACCCTAGAGGACCTGGGTAGCGACCACTACATCATCGAGGTACATGTTCAAGGTGGCCCACGTAAACCCACGGGAAAAGAGCTAAAGTTGGTAGACTGGACCCAGTTCCGCAAATCACGTGAGAACCAGGTCCAACCCATCAGCGACATGGAGGACTGGATACACACGCTTAAACAGGATATTAATAATGCCACCCAAATCGTACCTCCCGAGGCACACCTCGAAGAGATCGATAGCCGGCTCCTCCACATGTGGGAGGCAAAGCAATCGCTCCAAAAGAGGTGGAAGACACAGAAACACAACAGAAACCTCAGGAAACGCATAGCACTCCTCAACACAGAGATAGAGATGTATGCAACACAGCTAAGCCGGCAACACTGGTATGAAACCTGCGATGCGATGGACAGGCAGCTAAGTCTTAGTAAAACTTGGCATTTTCTATGGTTCCTGCTCGACCCAGAAGACAGCAAAACCACCCAACGACAAACCATCAACAAACTAATACATGCTTACAAGGGCACCGACGAGGAGTTTCTTAGGGAGGTAGAGCTCAAATATATCTCTCAGGCTCCTACTCAGCAGCATCCAGATTATACGGGCCAGATCAACACTACTCTAGACGAAGAATTCACTGAAGTGGATATCCGTGCCGCCCTACAAAAACTTAACACCAAATCTGCACCAGGTCCGGATAACATCACGAATAAGATGATATGCAATTTGGACGATGAGTCGATCACGCATATCACAGACTATATTAATAACTGCTGGAACACCGGAATCTTGCCCCCGCATTGGAAAATGGCCAAGGTGATTCTGATTCCGAAACCAGGCAAACCACTGAATACTGACAATCTTAGGCCCATCTCCTTAACATCTTGCATAGGCAAATTGATGAAACACGCTTTCCTGGCTCGACTGACAAATTACCTCGAAGACGATGATTTTTTCCCGCACACCATGATTGGCTTCCGCAGGCATCTTTCAACGCAGGATGCCATGTTGCAGCTTAAGCATCACATGATAGACAGTACGGGACGCTCCACTAAGGGCATACTTGGTCTTGATCTGAAGAAGGCTTTTGACTCTGTCACGCATAGCACCATTCTAAATCAGGTCAATACCCTAAATTGGGGCTTCGCACGTACAACTATATTAGGGCATTTCTTACGGGCAGAACGGCCACGATCACTGTGGGAGCACTCAGGTCGTCCGAAATAACCATAGGAAGTGCGGGCACCCCGCAGGATTCCGTGATATCTCCCATGTTGTTTAACCTCACCCTCATTGGTCTTCCTTCAAAACTTCAAACCACCCAAGGACTTCATCACACCATTTGCGCCGACGACATCACCCTCTGGGTGTGCGACGGCAGTGACGGTTCCATTGAACAGATATTACAGGAGGGGATTGACACAGTCGAACGGTATTTACAAGGAACTGGACTATCCTGCTCGGTGGAAAAATCTGAGCTACTGCTATATCGCCCTACACTTAGAGGTCGGCTACCCAAACAACATCCCCAAGCGCAGGCACACGCTGATATAAAACTCACTACAAGCGATGGTCACGCCATACCAACCGTGGACAAAATCAGAGTGCTAGGTTTGATCATAGAAAGTAAGGGTACCAACGGAGAGACAGTTCGCAACATTGAAGCCAGAGTGTCTAACACGATGCGCCTCATTAGGCGCATTACCAATAAACACAAAGGCATGAAAGAGGCCAGCATCATCCGTTTGATCCAAGCGTTTGTTCTAACTCACATCACCTATACGGCGGCGTACCACCGATGGTTCACCGCGGAAAAGTCAAAACTCAACAGCCTAATTAGGATAATTTACAAACAAGCGCTAGGTTTGCCTCAAAACACCAGCACCGAACTACTCCTTCAACTTGGTTTACACAATACCCTTGAGGAACTTATTGAGGTGCAACAAATCTCCCAATTCGAGCGTTTAGCCAAGACTAAGCCAGGCCACCAGATTCTATGTAATCTCGGTATTACTTACCACAATCAACACGGAGACAAACACGACATACCACGCACTATCCGTGCTAAGCTAACAGTACCACCCATACCCAGAAACATGCACCCTGAACACAACAAGGGCAGACGTGTCAGTAGAGCCAGGACCATGTCAAAGATGTTTGGGCGCAACTATGAGGCAGTCTTTGTCGACGCAGCACGCTACCAGGAACGTCACCACTTCGTGGCTGCTGTCGTATACCACACACAACAATGCAAAAGCAGCGCGTCAATCATCACACGGAACGTAGAAACGGCAGAGGAAGTGGCTATTGCGATGGCCATAGCCTACACTAACGCCTCATGCGTAAGCAGCGACTCGCTGAAAGCCGTTCGAAACTACGCCAGCGGCAGAATCTCCCCCGAGGCATTGCGGATTCTTAATACAGGCAAAATTCACGAGGCGGACAAATACGTACACATCTTGTGGTTCCCTGCCCACACACCACTAGGTAACGCGGAGGCCAATCCGAATGAAGTGGCGCACAATGTGGCTCGAGGTCTTACGTTCCGAGTCACGTCAGACGAAGCGGCCACCCAAACGAACCTTTCTGCGCCGGTGCGGAAATGGGACGATCGGCTCACTAAATTTAATGACATAATTCAACACTATCGACTGCAAAGGCGGGAGTACCCTCCGCCTCACTCCAAGCTAAATCGGGCCCAGTCCGTTCAGTGGCGACAGCTGCAAACACGCGCGTACACGAACCCTGTCATCATGCACCACATATATCCTGACGTCTATAGTTCTAATCTAAGCCAGTACTGCACCACCAGAGCCACTCTCGACCATATCCTATGGGAATGTCCAGCATTAGTCATAAATTCTGGGGTCGCGGCCTCCAATGAAGACCTTCGGGCGCGTTGGCGGACTGCGCTGCTCAGTTCGGGCCTGGACAAACAACTTTGGGCGATCCAGCAGGCCAAGGAAGCTGCCGGGAGACACGGTCTCTCCGTTGGCCCCTAGGTGGGAGCTGATCTCAGCAATCTGCCGGAAATTAATAAAGTCTATCTCTCTTGATTGGTGACAATCGACAAGCGTACCAAACTTTTTTGGACGCTACGGCCACTATTCAAATATCAACGCGATAATGTTAACGAGCTAGTTTCGCACAAATTCTGGCGTCGGCATCGGCGTCGTTCCTTGTGAGCGAACACAGATCTTCGCGCGACCACAAAATCAAGGAAGATGCAAATAAAATGAAAACAAAACATTTCGGTTCTAATTGGGAATCTAAACAGGCGTGGCTGCATAATAGAACACCCGCTTGCGCGGAAGCGGGTGTTCTGTTACACAGCCACGCATCTGCTTGCAAATGCACCGAAAATGACTTGCTCTGCTTGGAAATGCAGTGAAAGTAACTATCTTACTTTGTACACACATGTGTCCTGTGTACATGCTTCATAATACAACATGAAATATTGCCCTAACAGTGCGTGGTACAAGCATACATTGCCATCGGGCGTCAGAACATGGGATAATCATGATGACTTTATAGCTTGAAGCCAGTCACCCACTACAAAAGGCACAGACACTACTGCACCTTTAAGGCTCCGTAGTGGCCAGTTGGTGCAGAGACAGTTCGAAAAGATTTCATGCACTAGAGAGAGAGAGAGAGAGAGAGAAAGGAAGGCTGGGAGGTTAACCAGATATTGGCATCCGGTTTGCTACCCAGCACTGGGGGTGGGGAAATAGTGACAGGAAAGATAGGGTAGATAGAGAGAAAACACACACACACACACACATACATATACATATATATATGTATATATATATATATATATATATATATATATATATATATATATATATATATATATATATATATATATATATATATATATATATATATATATATATATATATAAGGGAAAGAAGTGTATACCTAAGGGCTCGTTTTTCCGTGTTTTAACACAATATTAATGAGATATAACAGACAGTAATGCCAAGGAATGTACAGGGGAAGTTATTATTAGAACCAATGGAATGTAAATAAGAAGAAAGAAAAGTGGATGAAAAAATAACCAGCCATATATATATATATATATATATATATATATATATATATATATATATATATGACACTGATAGCGGCAAACAGAGCGTCGGCCATCGATCAACTGACAAACGCTGAAGTGCGTTCACATTTATACATGTACCGTCGAATGTTCCAGCGCTATCGCTAGCGATCACGTAGCTTCCAGAATAATCTGCAATATTCGCATTGTGCGCGTAAACTTAACAAAATGATCTATTACAGACCCGGAGGTTTTCGAACAGTACAGGCGCGATTTGCGCTGAGAATTACTTAGTCTAACGGGGCGATAACAAAACTTGAAGAAGGATTGTGATACTATTATAACAGAGCGTAGACATGTTTCAAGTTGCAAATCGTATATTGGTGTGTAGTTTCTGAGCAGTACAGTAGGATTGTTTTTCCGTTCAGTTCGTTTAGTTTGGCACTAACAATCAATAAGCATAAGTATGCTTACCATGATACGCAGACCACAAGGAGGCTCACTTCATCATTTCCTCACCATAATCTCACGATGCAGGCGCAGCGGCCTCGCTGATTGGCTGCTAAGCACAAATGGGCAAATTGATTCTAAAAAACAAAAGTGTATTCAGATAGGCTTAATACGCAAAAGCACATGTCTTTAGATTGATGTAGGTTCGTTAAGTCGTAAAAATTAATCCACGTCACCGTGCATTATCGCCATGCTTGTAATTGTATCGTGCTGTTCGCACGGAATGTCTCTTCGCTACTGGAATGGCAAGCAAATGATGGGTCCGATACCTGAGAGATGACTGGCCGACAGGAGAATGTTGCCGGGCCACGACGCCGTGGCGTGGTCGGCGTGGTATTCCTCCATGAACAGCACATACAGGTAACCTCGGTTAGATTCGATGATGGTTGTAAGGAACGTTACGCAAGCGGCAACGAACGGAATGATCCAGCAGCGATCTTGCAAGTGGCTGGCTACCTTGCTGCCGGCTAAAGACTCGGGTCCGGGTGATTCATTTGCGGTTGTTCCCGGTGTGAGTGAGCCAGGCATGACACCGTGAAGACGAGTTACCCTCTTTCGTGATTCTTGGGCGTAGCAGAATAGTGGAGCCACGGCTCCGAAGGAAACCTTAGAAAGGCCAGATGCCGGGGCTCCACCTTTTTCGGTGAATTGCTATACTACGTTTTCCATGCCAATAAAAGTTAGATTGCATTAGAAGCCAGTACTTACAAGAACTGTGTTGTAAGGATTTGCAGGAGCAAAAGTAGGTGCACCACAGGAAAACGGTGCTAATACAAAAGCCTATAAAGTAGCAGCGCATAGAGGTCATGACTGACGGACGAGGTTGTTTTCAAAGCACGAGTGCTCCAGTTGGTGTAAAACGGGCATGTGCCGGCGCATCTGTTCCAGCTGCGTGTGTCAATGCGGAACGTAATTTCATTCTCCACTTTGCCCAGGGCAGAATGCAAAAGTGCGAGGCCATCCGTTACAGAACTAATCAGAAATGTGTTGTAGCAGTCAACTCGCTTCTGTTATGGCACAGTCGAGCCAGGAAGATGGATGTTTGCGGCAGCAATAAGCAATGATTTCGCGCTTATTGAGGCGAAATCCTTACATATCTTATAAATCGTGAAAAGTGACCGTCGGTTGGCGGTTTCAACGCGAGTGACGTCATCGCGAGGAGGGAAGGCACCGCTAATGAGCACGATTGAGAAAAGAAGGACATAGAGGAGCGCGAGCGCGGAATGCGGAGGTGGTTGGCAGGTGAAGCGTGCTCCCCCGCTCGGTACTCACCAGGCCTGTAGTGGCCATGCCTCCCATGCCGTTCACCGAAGGTCATAAAAAAGAGGTGCACGCCCTTGTGTAAGTATCCTGCATAGGCTTCAAGGAATTAACAAGCCGAATTGACCGGTCGCTTCCAAGGTGCTGTCTTCCTCCGAAGGTCCAATTAGCTAATGTTGCAGCTACGGTGTTAGTTGAAGGGTGGAGGGAGTGATTCTTAGAATTGGAAAAGAAAAGTTAACCTCGCAACTGTCTGCAGCTTAGTGCGACACCTCAGCAGTGGTTCACAGTGGAATGGGAATGGGGGAATAATAGACGAACGAAGAGAGAAAAGAGGAAGGAGAGAGCGAGCGAAGATACCTAAAAGGAAGGGGGGACTCAAAGATCATCTACCAAAATCACGGGGCGCTAATTCTCTGAATTCGCTCACGCAGTCCGATTCCGTCATCTAAGTCGAGAAGCGCTGAAAGGACACGCTTGATATGCGCGCGGCCACTGTTCGGGAACTAGAGGTGCTCAGTTGTCCGAGGCAGGCCGAGCGCTCCGTACATTGCGAGCATCACCTGTCTGCTCGCGTCACCAGCTGGGCAATGAAGCAAAAGATGGTCCAGAGTCTCCAGGTTGCCACAGTCCAGGCAGGATAGCAGTAGTAGTAGTAGTAGTTGCAGGTAGCCACCTCTCGTTTAGTTCTTGGAATGACCGCTGTATTGCGGTACTTGTATATGATAAATATATGATGACCAGATGCGGAATGGTGGCATTTGTAGTGTTCACTAGATGGACGGGTGGATGGATGGACGTACAGACAGACGCACGGACGGACGAAAGCACGGATGGAAGGGTAGAAGCAAGGAGGCCCAGAGGGATGCACGGAAAGATGGAAGCACGGACGCACGGACTTACTGACGGACGCTTCGCTCCACTCATCTATATTCGCTCCTTGGTTATGCTGGCTTTTTTTGGCGCAGTTATCTTTGTGTTGTTCATTATGCTGGTGTTGTGAAAGTCAGTGCTTAGCGGTTGTATAATGGTGCGTGCGTGTTCTGTGCAAATGATGCCATAATCATTTTCATGATTACTACTGGCGTCTTTATACAAAATAAAAGGACAATGAAAGCGCAAACATTTGCACAACTTAATGCAGATATGCAAACGCAGTGTTACGAGGGGCCACACAGTCTTTTGGATAGCGTGTCGCGACGGCCAATGGACTGGGTAGCAAGCATTTAGGCAGTGCAAAGGCAAGAGAGAGTCAGATGTAAACAAAAAAAAAAAGCCACAGCATATTTTCGGAGTGCATGATATGATGAGTGGGGCGAAGCATCCATCAGTCCGTCCGCGATTCCGTCCTTTCATTCGTTTTTGCTTCAGTTCATCTATGCAACCATCCGTGCGTCCGTCCGTACATCCTTGCGTCCATTCCTGCGATCGTCTCTGCCTTTGTCCGTACGTCCATCCATCCGTCCGTTCGTTTGTCCATCCATGAAACCATCTAACTATCTATGCGTCCGTAGTCCGTCCGCCCATGTAGCTTTCTGTTTCTCAGTCAGTGCATCTGTCCATCCGTCCGTCCATATAATGAACAATTCGAGTCCAAGTACCGCCATCTCGCGTCTTTTCATCATACAGAAATACCGCCATCAAACGGACATTCCAAGGATTAAACGAGAGGTGGCGTGGCCACACTAGAGGAGCGGCACGCGCACTCTCTTAAGGCCTGCGCTTCTTGTTTAGTCCCCACCTTTCACCGCCGCTAGTTCATGGCAGTGCTGCACAACCCTCGCTAAACCTTGCAAAAAATCAAGGTAGTTACGCACAGCGAGTTTAACGTGGCAATCTTCTCTGGTCAGCCCCGCCGCGGTGGTCTAGTGGCTAAGGTACTCGTCTTCTGACCCGCAGGTCATGGGTTCAAATCCCGGCTGCGGCGGCTGCATTTCCGATGGAGGCGGAAATGTCGTAGGCCCGTGTGCTCAGATTTGGGTGCACGTTAAAGAACCACAGGTGGTCAAAATTTCCGGAGTCTTCCACTATGGCATCTCTCATAATCATATGGTGGTTTTGGGACGTTAAACCACAGAAATCATTCAATCAATCAAACCTTTTCTGGTCAGACAGTGCTCACAGTGCGTCCTTCTGCTACTACTTTTTTTTGGTAAGCATCAAATTCAAGGCAAATTTATTGGAGATTAAATCCCCGATACTCGTCTCTGTAGCTTATTAACTATCTTTCCATTTATGATTAACGTGCGCACTTTTCCTCCTCAATGCAAAAGAGTGCGCGCGTGCCGCTCCTCTAGCCCGGCTGTGGAGGTGGCTACCTACTACTACAATGACGACGACGATGACGACTATTACTACTACATACATTGCGACCTCCCACATGCATACGTCAAATAACTCACGACCCTCAGTCCCCAGCAGCTGCGAAGCAACTGACCACGGCGGCGGTCAGATCTGCAACGCAGCAGAGGGTGCTGAGAATCTCTGGATCCGGACAGGCCGCCATTGGAACCTGAACTTGGCAACGTTTAACGCTAGAACCTTATCTAGTGAGGGAAGTCTAGCTGTACTATTCGAGGAGCTAGAGGGTGTTAAATGGGATATAATAGGGCTCAGTGAGGTTAGGAGGACAGATGAGACCTATACGGTGCTACAGAATGGGCACGTCCTTTGCTACAGGGGCTTGGCAGACAGATGAAAACTGGGAGTGGGGTTCCTAATTCACAGAAACATAGCTGGCAACATAGAGGAATACTATAGCATTATAGAAAGGGTGGTAGGTATCGTAATTAAACTGAATAAAAGATACAAGATGAAGGTAGTACAGACTTACGCGCCTACATCCAGCCATTATGACGCTTCAGTTGAAAGCTTCTATGAAGACGTGGAATCGGCAATGAGTAAGGTAAAAACACAGTATACTATAGTGATGGGCGACTTTAATGCAAAGGTAGGGAAGAAGCAGGCTGGAGTCCAGGCAGTAGGAGATTATGGCATCGGCACTAGAAACGCCAGAGGAGAGCTACAAGTAGAATTCGCAGAACGCAATAATTTGCGGATTTTGAATACCTTCTACCGAAAACGAGAAAACTGCAAGTGGACATGGAGGAGCCCTAATGGCGAAAATAAGAACGAAATAGACTTTATAATGACTGCACACCCAGGAATCGTGCAGGATGTGGAAGTGGTTGGCAAGGTACGATGCAGTGACCATAGAATGGTGCGGTCTCGAATTCGCCTAGACTTGAAGAAGGAACGACAGAAACTGATACGCAAGAAACCAATCAATGAGCTAGCACTGAGAGGGAAAGTACAGGAATTCAGAGTGTCGCTGCAGAACAGGTACTCGGCTCTTAGTGAGGAAACCAACCTTAGCGTAGATACAATGAATGATAATCTGACGAGTATAATTACGGAGTGTGCAGTGGAAGTTGGAGGCAGGGTAGTTAGACAGGACACTGGCAAGCTTTCCCAGGAAACAAAGAACCTAATTAAGAAGCGTCAAATTATGAAAGTGTCAAGTAAAACAGACAAAATAGAACTGGCAGAGCTTTCGAAGTTGATTATTAGACGTAAAGTATGCGATGTAAGAAGGTATAACATGGAGAGAATTGAACACGCTCTGAAAAACGGAAGAAGCGTCAAAGCAGTGAAGAGGAAACTTGGGATAGGCAAAAGTCGGATGTATGCACTAAGGGATAAAGAAGGCAAAATAACTACCAATACGGATAGGATAGTTAAAATAGCGGAGGAGTTTTACAGAGATCTGTACAGTAGCCGAGACAACCACGACGTTAATACTATAAGAACTAGCAGTAACCAAGATGACACCCTACCATTAATGATAGAAGAAGTCAGAAAAGCTTTGGAGAGCATGCAAAGAGGCAAAGCTGCTGGTGAGGATCAGGTAACATCACATCTGCTGAAAGATGGAGGACAGATTGTGTTAGAAAAACTAGCCACCCTGTTTACGAGGTGTCTCCTGACGGGAAGGGTACCAGAGTCTTGGAAGAACGCTAACATCATCTTAATACATAAGAAAGGAGCTGACAAGGACTTGAAGAATTACAGGCCGATCAGCTTGCTCTTTGTAGTATACAAGCTATTTACAAAGGTAATTGCTAAAAGAGTAAAGAAAACATTAGAATTCAATCAACCAAAGGAACAAGCAGGATTTCGAACAGGCTACTCAACAATTGACCACATTCATAATATCAATCAGGTAATAGCGAAATGCTCAGAGTATAACCAACTACTATACATAGCCT